CAAGACTAAAGAATATGGAATTATGGGAAGAACTGTTCACAAAAAAAATAGAAGTTGTATCGGAAACGGATATTAAACTTTCCTTATACAAAGAAATATATGAACCCTGGAGGGCAAATGGCAAGACGTTAATCGATAAAGAATAATAAGGGAGACATGCAACAAAAATTATGTTTATCGTGCTGTGGACTGAGCCATATACAACAATCGCTGCTGATGAAATGGAATACTTATGGTTTCCTGAATGAAAAAGCGACATTTCACAAAATAAAAAGGTCAATAAAATGGATTGTTAGGAAATCTAGCGCAGCAATTACGACTACGAACAAAAGAACAATGGATGAACGTAAATAAAAATCTACATATGAATTAAGGAACACCAAAATCACCACACTATGCAAAATTATGGATACAGAAAGAGGAAACAACAAAACTCATTGCAGTGACCAGCCACAAGAACAACTAAAATAATAACATCATGAGAAAATACAATAAAATGGCCAGTGTACGATGCTACATGATCGTAATTATCTACTGATGAATTATCTTATGGAAAAACTCGCTTTCATGACTCATTTAAGTAAATTACTCAAATTATATAAGCATGTAAACGTGGGAGCTAGGACAGTATGACCTCGCTTTCGCAACTTGGTCGTGTTGTCAGTTGGATGCGCCTTATCCGAAGTCCTCTGCTATAGTAGTTATGGTAATCCTCTAGCGTTGGATCATGGAATTGGCACATTCCTACACAATAACAGATGGCTTCGGACAAGGTACGCCCAACTTCATTGCTCTGGAAACACGACCGAGCTGAGAATATGAGGTCAGACCACTTCTAAACATCTAGAGGAGACTGAGACCAAAATAGAGCCACAGCATCTTGGTCGTCATATTTATGTGGAAGCTAAATTTATGTTTTATGTAGCCAGGGGCAAAAATCTTGCCACTGAAAAAGATCACCCTTATGGATCCAGAAAGCTAATCACAATCATGTCAGTGACTTCTAAAAATCATTTTGAATGCTTGATGAAGCTCTCCTAAAACGATCCGTTATCAAAGATAATGGAAAAAACTTTAGAATTATAGACATTGCTTAGGCATTACTCTCACTATTTATCACACTTATCCTAGATTATGTAAGCGTTTAGGTCCCAGCACTGCTGCTATAAAAGATATGGTAGAATACATGAGAGTTTGGTGTGAAGTGTGAACCTAGCTGGTCGAGTCAAAGTTCATTAAAAAATCCAAAGAATGTAGAAGAATGCGATACTACTTCAACGAAGTAGGAATTTAGCTAAAAGTGACATTACCTGCACATAGAGTTGGCTTTTGTAACGGCCCAAAAGAACGACGTAACCACGGTTCGGACAACTGGGCTGCTTTTGATTCAGACGAGATACTCGAAACAAAGCTGTGTTATCCGATTGCGCTGTTGGAACTGAAGTATGCTGAGGAGCAGACACCCGGCTAACAGAAGCCATCATGCGAGTGGCCAAAGAAGTGGAATGAGGTGTTCGTAACTGTGAAATCCCAAAAAATGAGTCAGAGCAAGACGATTTCTGAATATATCGAAGGTCTCTAAAGTCCATTGTGTTAATCAACTTAAGAGGATCCTGAGGTTTAACAGAACAAGTATCCGAAGACGATTCATCGAGGCGAGAGGAGAGTTCTTGCGAGGGTTTGGAAGAGACATATACAGTTTGAGGCGTTTGAGCCTCAAGGCTATGGTATCTTAGAAGGGAGTTGTATATGGGGTCATTCGTCAAAGCCTGAACTTTGGGATCGTCTAATGGAAATGAAAGTAAGAATAAAAACAAATAACCTATAATATTCCAAGTATGTTCGTACTCAGAAAAAAAATTTATGAAGAATATATAAGTATAATACAATGTAGTGACTTTTACTTCAATCAGTTTTGTTACATCCGTCATCACAACCGGTTAGTAAGCAGTTATATCTCACCTCACGCAACACAACTTGGGGCATGACTCATCGACACCATATACCGCAAGAACTATGCCAGCCTAGACATCATATCAAGCCCCCCCCGTTGAACTAATCAAGACTGGTACAAAAAGGACATAAAAATATTTTAAGCCAGAAACTTTTTGAACCGTAGCCGCTGGCTCTTAGCCGGTATGACTGTGATCAAATACCTTTTTCTTGCACTCATACAACATTCGCAATCGAGACGAGATACATTGAATCCTCGCCTGTAACTTTTCTTCTAATATACAAGATACTCAGTAACCAGTTTTCTTTTTCCTCTATACAAGCCTGAATAGTTATTACGAGATATCTACAATACTATGGAAAATTGTAAGAACTACATTTGAGACGCTAGATAAGATGTAAGGGTATTGATGCTGAATCCCACTAATTAAGCCTATTGGTAAACGCAATTGGAAATTAAATAGTTACGTCAAATCGAAGCTATTGATCAAAATTATAAATAATTGAAGTAAAATAATGCGATTAAATCAATAAATTCGCAGCGTCAATGTAGTTAATACTTGAAGTTTACATCTAAAATAAGCTCCGTTCATAATTCGACATTTATAAATGACAGACTATGTAAACTGGTAAACAAATAGCCCTTTAAGAAAAATGGGATTCCAAGCCAACTAAGAAGACGCCTGGAAGGCGGAAGCGACAACCTATACAATTTCAGAATGAAAATGAGATAAGATGATCGTTTTTAGATTTAAAAATTCAAAAGTTTAAGTTAGTACTATAATCCTTTGAAGGGTTACATAGCGGATTAAGTCTTGACATATCTATTATTTTAAACAGGATCAGTTATATAAAGCAGCTCAAGCGAATACGATAGATGTTCCAAGAAGGCGAATTTACGCTAAAATGAGAAAGATTAAAATTGCAAATACATAGCCAACGGATACTAAAGTTTGCCTAATTATTTCAACGTATGGATTGGTGTAGAGATTTTGAAAGCAGATAAAGACTATTGCGAATTGAGGATATGAAGGCAAAAGTTATGAATGATAAATAAATGATTTTGACTCATATTTCTAGGGCAGTTAAAATCACGTATGAAGACAAATATTAGAGAATGGAGTATAATGAAATAAAAAAGTAGGATAGAAGTGTTAAGAGCTTGGTTAAAACTGAGGAAAAACATACAATATATACCTCACATGCCATATATTTTGAAATAAAAAAGGACGAATATATATGTTCATGTTAATGAAAATTCATTCGACTTTCCATTTCAAAGGAAAAGTTGGCTAGAGGGAATTCGTGAATTGGTCCCACCGAAAACCGAAGGATTGTTGCGGAGTTAAAACTGTTGAGATGTGCGAAGAAACCTTCGGCCCTTTGTCCTGCGACTCCGAGGAACTTGTGCTAAGCATATATCTGTTTTGTTAAAGGTATCACATCCGAGTAAAAATCCATACTTTACGAAATAGCAAACCTATGGAAAAGATGGCTGACTTCAACTCTAGCCACTTCTAGCTAATATTGCGATCCTAATGAGGCATCACGTGATTTGGTTGGGCATCTAAAACTTACTCTGCATTGAAGATGTGAAGACCAATATGTTGTGGTCTCGGGTATGGTCGCAGTCTCCTTTCGACTAATAGAAGTGGGTTGACCTCGTTTTCGCAACTTGGTCTTGTGTTCAGGGATACTATGTAGAACGCACCGAGTCCAAAGTCGTCTGCCATAGTAGTTGTCTTGATTCCCAGCATCCGACTGT